AACAGTGAAATCCATGAAAGGTAGCAAGAACACTTGAATTCCTTTGGTAGGAATGATTTTGGTCAAGAAGAAGACAAGCCACAATACTTTGAAATACAAAATCAACGGAGGCTTAGAAATTAGTTGACTGCTGGAGGATATAGAGATGAGGTGTCTGTTGCAAGATACAAAGATAAGATGTCTCTTAAAGGATACAAAGATGTGGCGCCCGTTAGACGATATGAAGATGGAATGCCTACTAGGAGATGTTGAGATAACATGCCTATTAGTGAATATAGGCATCTTGGAATAAAGGTTTACCTATCAGACTTCGAGTAAAGAATGGATCCAGATGATTTCCTTGAGTGGATGTAAGACTGTTGAGTAGATATTTTATTACAAGGAGGTTCTCGATGACAAGAGTGAAGCCTGACACCATCAAGTTGAAGAATGTTTCTTTGTGGTGGGAGAACTCGAAGATGGAAAAATAGAGAGAGTGCCACGACTGAATCTCTTCTTGGGAAAAAATGAAGACGACGATTCAAAGACTGTACCTACCGCTTTGCTACCGTCTAAATATTTTATTAAAGTTCCACTACCTGCAACAGAAGGAACTATCAGTGAAGGAATACACGATAGAGTTTATGCTTCTTAAGTTGAAGTTTGAGTCGAAGAAAACGGACCAGATACTTAGGAGGCCTGAAGAATTGTGCTCTTCATCGAGCAGGGTGCACTGGAGGAAGCGAGCAAAGAAGAGACAAATGAATAAAAGGGTGAGAAGTATCATCTTCCACTGGATGATGGTAAGATGCTTGTGGTTCGATGGGTCCTATAGGCTGATGCTATGAGGGGTCAGCAGTGGCTTTTCCGCAACATATGCTCCACCTATTGCATTATGATAGGAAAAATATGTAGTCTCATCATCGATGGAGGGTACAACAAGAATGTGATATCTACATAGATGGTGGACAAGAGTCTCACGATTCAAAAACATTCGCAATCATATTCCTTAACGTGGTTAAGGGAGAAGGATATAATCGGCATTGACAGGAGATGTCTTATGGAGTTTTCGATTGGGAACCTATTACGAGATCAGATTTAGTGCGATGTGGTGCCCATGAATGTCTGCCAGCTTTTTTGTAAAGAGAGCTTGACAATTTGATCGTTGGACTTAATATGTCGGGTTCAGGAATACCTATTCCTTTACCAAGGAAGGCAAACACATGGTCGTTCTATCTTTTGCGGAGTCCGAGATTACATGTGCCATTGTGAGAAGTGTCAGTAAGTTTTGTTTTGGTGATGATAGAGGAAAGCGAGACAGAGGTGTTGATTCTAGATGCATGCTAATCACCACAAAGAGCATATCGGGACATCATGATCGATGCCTTACCACCATGACCACCACCATTAGAGGGAGTTTAGTCTGTTCTCACTTCAGGTATGATCGAGCCAACTGTGGACTACTTTTGGAAGACTCTATACGGTACACTTGGCAAAAAGTCTCAATTCAGTTCAACAGTGCACTCTCATATGATTGGATCAATATGGTTGAATGTTCGCAAGTGAGGAAAACTCTTCATGTGTTTTGAGAGACAGTGCAGTTAACAGTGAGATTTGGGTGCTTCTCAGGCCACATTCAAATTTTCTTCAACCTCGGGAAGTTATAGCAACTCTGCTACTCTTTCAAGGTGCAAAGCGAAGCTTCAACAAATGAGGTTGAAGCTCTCCCCATCCCGGGAGACTGATGCGGGGCACCTTCTACCCCAAACTTAACGAAGTCTTGGACGCGACAAAAGTCGTGCAACATTGGTTTGGTCTGGGCTGATCTTAGCCAAAGAGGGACCGACCGACCCTTCCGTTCATGGAGTTCCCTCCTATTCAGAGTGCGGTGCCCACTCCTCTTTATCGTGGATATATATATATATATATATATATATATATTAGAAAAAACCCGAGGGCAAATATATTAATACGAAAAAGATACAAAATGTTGTATGAGAGGACTTAAAAGAAAGCTTAACTCATAAAATACAAAACACACAAAACTCAAATAAAACAAACATATAAAAAGATCGAAAATCAGAAATCCAAAAAAAGGCACAAAATTGTTGGGGACGTTCCACTTTAGTCCTCCTGCCTCTAGTTCTCGGAAGTGAGCCGACTAACAAATTTGTAAGGTGTGTACCATTGCCCGTAGTAATCAAAATATCATCTATCAGATTCCTGAGCTCAAGTAGATCTTTATTCTTCTTCTTCCTCCTCGATGTGTAGACCTGTCATTCCTCATCCGATGATTGATTTATCTGATCAGTAGATTCCAAAGGTAGTCAGATAGGTGTAGGTCGTTGCATGTCTTGATCCCCATGAGCCTGAGTAATATTAATATCTTTCTGGACCTGATGAAGCGGTTGTGAAGCAATAGAAGTATTTCCACCTGTATTATCAGTGATAGGTTCTCGGGCAAGCGGGGTCTGAAGAAACTCCCTCTCCCCCACGATAGGAGGTTCCAAAGACGAGAGAGCTGTAACTGGGGATTGAATGGTTGTCATATTGTCTGTCTGATCAGGAGGAGATGGAATCATAGCCTCTAGCGGAGCAATTTGCTTTTTTGGTCTGAGTTGGGGGTGTAGATGGTGACATTAGGAACTGGAGTGTCCGAACATACGACTGTTCGAACAATACGACGGAAAATGTTCAATCTCTACCTTCTGCCAATATCCATAGTATTGTGTGTCCAACCAGATTTCCTCAGAAGCGGGTGAAGTGATGTCTCTTTCAACAAGTACTCTAGCTTCAGAAGGACGAGACAGATTAAAAGTAGGAATGTCCGTCTTGAGTGGCTTCCCATAAGCTGAGGCAATAAAATATAATACTTTTTGAGAAAAATAATGAAATTTCAGACCAGAGAGACGAATCCAAACCGAAATGATTGGTGGTTCCGTCTGTGGGTCAAATTCCACAGACCATTTCAGAATCTTTATTGCTCTGTTATCAATCATTATTATCCTTATAGCAAATAATCGCATGTAATCTTCTTCGTTGCTAATTTGAAAAAGAATGTGTCTCTCATCTAATAATCCAATTTTCCCTTTTTTAACAAGGTCCATAAGTTCAAATTCTTTGCGAATGAGCTCCAATTTGGGATGACCATATAGAAATTTTCCAATCAAATTCAGACGAAAGGAGGAAGCAAGTTGAATACCTTCAGCTTCTGTAAAAAAAATGACAGACTTCTCATTCTTCCTACCAGGTTTCTTGATGTCATCCGCCCGCTCAAACGGAGGGAAAAATGATGATTTTGGTGTGTCTGAAGTGTGGACACCGGAAAGGGCAGCTACATACGATTTGTCTGAAGCCATCCTCAAGGATAGGTGCAACGTTTAGAGAACGTTTAGAGAAGAAAGCAAACAGAAGAAAGCAAACAGAGGAAAAAAAAACGCATCGAAATAGCCGAACGACGCGGTGAGACCGAGCGCAGTCTCAATTGCGAGCATGCGAGGTTGAGCTGTACGCGAGCGACGAGACGGGCCGCAGAGGAAGAATCGAGCGCATAATGGGAGACGAGCCTCGTTTCAGAGGAACGGGGGAGACGAAGAGCGCGAAGACGCCGAGAGGAAACACGCGAGCGAGCGAGAGAGAGAGAGCGAAGTCATAATTTGTTGCTAGGGTTCGCCATCGGGTGAAACCTTAGCAGAGCCGAGCGAGGAAGACGATGCCATCGGGCATGATCTCGCCGTTCTACGCTCTGGTGTGAGTGTATATATATATATATATATATATATATATATAGTATTTGTTGTGTTTTAGTGGTTTTGGATTTGGATTCAGTTTTCTGTGAAGACAACCATGAACTTCCCGTTCTTCGCCTCTATGGATGTATTCGAATGGGAGAAGGTACTTTGGGTGTAACTCGTTTAATTGTTGTCTAACATATTCAATTACTTTTTTATATTATTTAATTGATGTGATAAAGATCTTGTAAAACCTCAAAATTTTTCTTTGTTTCTCTATTACTTTCTTCTCTATAGATTTATCCCCTGCATATTAATCAAGTTCTAGCGTGCCTATAAATTGATTTAAATCCATTTTGGTGTGGTGAGATTGGATGATGCCTCGAACAAAAAGTCAAGCTACAAACCTTATACATCTTTTTAGTCTTTCTTTAAAATTTATACATAGGTTACGTAAATAATCATTCACTCAACATATCTATATCTATATATATATATATATATAGCTTGCATGAGCATATCCACAGAAAGCGGTTTCCATGAAAATTACAATCTTTACTAATATGATAAGGGGGTAAATAGGTTTTAAATCTTGTTATAATCTCGTACGTTTAACTCTAGAAAGTCTGCTATCAGTAAAATTTAGGTTGAATTCAAGGAAATGAGAAAGGTATAATCATTTTAAATTTTGCAACGCATTGAAGTTAATTGCATACAGACCAGAATCCAAGAAAATTCTGGTATTAATCTAGTTTTAAATATTTCATATTTGATAATATTTCATGAGCATATTATTTACTCTTTAGATTCTTCTTCTTTTTAATTGTCTTCCATGTGATTCTACTTCCAGTCATCTTTCATATACTGCACAACTTGTACCGGAGGCTACGTTGAATGATGAGATTGTGTTCAGTTTTGATGATTGATTTTAAAGTTTCTAATTTGTTTTTGTGATAGACAAGTTTGTGATGATTCATGGATTATTTTATAGGAAGGCTTGTATTTTTTTTTGTTTGATGTAAAACAAATGCTAAATTTTTCATAGCCAAATTTCAAGCAGGGTAGTGTTGATGGATATTCACGTTTCTTCTCATTGTAAGTGTCACATCAAGCTGAGTTGAATTTTGTTTTTCTTAATTCGAACAGATTGATGTAAGTCTTGGGTAGTGATTGGCTTTATCCTTGTAAGCTTAGCTATGGCTATTGGTTTTATCCTTTGGTAATTATTATGATTTGTTTTTGGCAATTCTTATGATTGGGTGTCTTTGATTTTGCGGGTTTATGCTGCAGTGTTGTTGGTTTGGGCGATGAAGGACTATGGCATGGATTGCCTTGGGCATTTTTTGGTTTTAAGCTTGTGATTATTATAACATTGGAGATAATGTCCAACACACTCCACTCGTATGGGTATGTTCTATTTATTATTTCCTTGACATGTGTTGCCTAAGAAAAACTAGATGAGGAGTTTTTATAGGTTGATTTCCAGATCAAATTTTGATTTGGAAATTGCTAATTTTTGAGTTTTCATGATAATTTGACTTGAATTAGAACCATACTTATATGACGCCAACTCTAACATAGGATGAGAATTCTATAAATTGACATCATAGGCATAAAACTTATTAATTTTGATTGAATAAAATTTCTTCATCTAATTTTCAATCTTGTGTCTACAAGTTGTATGCATGATTCATTTGTACATGGTGTAAGTGCAATTACCTATTTCTAATAAAAAAAATTCTATTAATGATGTTAGACTTAGATTTCGTACTATTATTGCTTTTTTTATGTAATTTCTTATAAATTACCTTTTATTAACTTGTTAGCGTCCTTAATTTAGTTCAAATTCGTGATATATGAGAAACTAGTTAAGTATAATTGCCTGTTAATTTTGTTTGATTAAAACTTTCTTCAGATCTATTCAAACATTCTATTATTACTTGAGCTCTAAGTTTTGTTTTATTATTTGCATCTAAGTTGTTGGCTTATTTAGTGTTTAATTATTTTATGAATCTCAGGCTTTCTTACGTGATTTATATACATTGCGTCATTCAAACAAACCCTTAGGGCTTATTTGGGATGACTATTGTTTTAAAAGACATTTCTTAGTGCGTTTTTTAATTATTATTTAAAATAAATCTAGTTATTTTAAGAACACTTAAAACAACTTTTAATATTTTTATTGTTTTTAAAAACTATTACCATTTGGCACTATCAACAAAACTGCTATCGCTGGTCGCCACCATTGGCTGCCATTATTACTAGTGGTGGAAACCACCGCCAAACATTGCTGCCACTACCTGTTGACAACTGCCGCCGCTACCACCGCACAAATAAATAAAAATAATATGTTTTTTATATAGCAAGCATATTTTGTTTATTGGCAAAACAAAAATAAAATAAAATGACAATAAGAAATAAAAAAACAAAAAATAAATGTGATTTCAAATGATCCCTTATCTGTTCTACTTTAGTTGGTCAGTTTTATTGTTACTTTTGTTACTGTTTTTATCTCTTCGTTTGTTTTCTCTTTACTATTTTTTCTAGGCCATTCTACATCACTATCTGTATTTACTTTCAAGATATTTTAGTTTAATTTTACTGAACCATGAATGCTCGACAATTTTATTTTGTCATACATTATATATATTCTGCACGACTTCTAAAATGTTGAAGTATGACCTAAATCTGATTGGTATTTGCACAACAAAATTGCAAACATAAATATTATATCGTGCTTGCTAAAATAATCTCAGTGCTGCCGGATGTCCTAAAGCAAGAATTGGAGTTGTTGGTGCTGGCACAGCAAGTGTCTTTCATGAGAATTTACCGTCATGCGAAAAAACACTTGAGATTGCATTTTCCCCTTCAAAAGGTAAACTGGTGTTCTAGTAGTTTTATGTAGGGTGCTCTATTGATAATTACACACACACACACACAGACACACACACACACAAACACAGAGGGTCTTGTAGCATAGTTTTTTAGAACGTAGACCTAACTTTGTATTAGTTCTCTCAGCTACTGGCAAAGTATTAGCATCAGAGCTTCCAAATGATTGTCTCGGCACTTGTAAAGTTCTATATCCTGCGTCTGTGAAGGCTGGAAATGAAATTGGTATCTTATCATCTTTTTGGCAGTATTTTTTGATTCATTTCCTTAGTTTTGCCAGTATTTTTTTTACTATGTCGAAATACTCATTTGATACTCCTGCTCTTCATGTTTCTTTCTCTAACATGCTTATTGAAAAATATCATTGCTTTTGGATGCTTCCTTTTTTCTTGAACCATACTTGATTATGCCAACAAAATTTGGGTTAGAATGAAAAAAAAAGGTTGGACAAACTTCGCATCAGTAAAATTGGTTTGAAATTTCTAAACAAGTATGTATTAATTTGGTAGTCCTTTTTTATGGCCTGTTGGGCACATTGAAGACAATTGTCCTCCTATTTTCTAGAGGATTCAGCACAGCCATTGTGCTTTGTGTAGCTCTCCTCATGAGGACCTCGAACACCTTTTTTGGCTGCCCACTTAATATATCTATTTTCTCATATCATCGTAACATTTTTACCTCTATAACCATTGACCTTCCATCCATCTATGTTGACCATATTTTCTTCCCCTCTTTGCTGGGAACTTCTCATTGTCTTAGCGTGCTTTTTTCGATGCCTAGCTTAGATCTTATTGCGCGTGAACCCCTTTCTTTTCTTTCTGTAATTGGCTTAGACTTAGGATGTATGTCATACCTCATATCTGAAAGGTTGTACACACTAACTGCACATGTTGCGATGAAGGATGAATCTGAACTTTCGAGATAAACTTCAAAGTAAATTATTTCTATTTTGTATTCACAAGAGAAAAAATTTATATATAAATGATTGTAAGCATACATATGAAAGAAAGCAACTAAACAAAGGAAAATAAAATAATATTTTTTTACTTTGATAAAATCTTAAAGTAGCTCAAGAAAAAAACAAAAAAAAAGAACCAATAGAGAAAAAATTGGACGAACGACTACTTGAACAAATACCACTAAAACTTAGCATGAATATAAGTACAAACTATAACATAAAATCAAAATAAAAATACAACATAAATTCAAGTATCGAATACAATAGCTACTATTAAGAAGTCTATCATATAATGATGGTCTACTAAATGACCTGGTAAAACCTATCATAAAAAAAGTTTTACGATAGATGGATTTTTCATTTCAAGCTTAATAAGCAACTCATATTTTCTTAATATAAATGACAAGACATTGATGTATGCATTATGAGTGATAAAAGAGGTATACTATATTAATTAATTGCATTGATAAATGTAATCTTGTCATTGCATAAAAGCATAAGTATCATGCCTTAAAAATTATTTACCGTGTAGTGATTGTCATGAATATTTATATGAAACTTATAATTAATACATTTTTATGCAAATACATCTTGGTGCAACTAAAATATGTTAATTATATATTTTTAAAGTTGACTCATCACTCATTTATCATTTTTTATGTATATTTCTATAATGGATTTTACTGTAACACCTTGAAAATACGCACCAACCAATAAAGAATCAATGATTTCTCTGTGGAGCCATCGATCCACTGAGCCAATATAAAAAATGTATTACCAATCTATACATCCATTGTTAACATGCATTTGTATTTATAATAAGAATTATTTAGCATGTTTTTTCTAATCAATATTATTAATGCTAATTTTAATAAAATATGATTTGCAGGATTAAAGTTTATTAGATTTAACAAAGATAGTGTGTGTGAGAGTAATTCTTGCTAGCAGGGATCTATTCAATATTAGAATTTATGTAGCCATAGATCAAAGCAAGCTATCTGCATTACATGATGTTTAATTATGAACATTAGAAAAAATCTGCGAGAGCATGAATGATAGTTATTGAATCTGAAATGCAGGTAAGTTAACCTTGTTGGGAAAAACTATGGCAATAAAGCGAAAAATTGGAACGAGAAAATGCGCAAAAACAGAAAACACAGTGGAGCACACAAATTTACGTGGTTTGGCAAATTGCCTACATCCATGGAGTTGCAGAGGATTTTATTGGCCTGATGAATTACTCCCGTCGATCGCCTCGAGGATTCACAAGAAAATTTTCTCTTTCTCTCTCTCTCTCCTCACATTCTCTCTCTCTCTCTCTAACCAAGAGCCACCAACGAGAAGAAGACTAAAGCAAGAAAACTTGCAAGCTTTTTCTTCCTTCCTGTAATTAGCAAACTGCAGAAGAGGATTAGGAGGAGCTATTTATCATACAGCACTAGATGCATCAATTTAAAGCATGCATTTTTCAGCCCAAAAGGCAAGGCCCAAATAACAGGAAATCCGGAGGAAGGATTTCCCTCCTGTTTCCTGAAAGTCCATTGATGGCGGGATCCACAGCGGAAATTGAAGAGGCAGGATCCTCATTTGGAAGGAGAACCGGGAATAGGTAATAGAGGAGGCGAGATCCTCTATAGAAAAGCACCAGGCGGGCTCATAGAAAGGAAACAAATAACAAAGGCAATTAATTAATTACAAAACAATTAATTAGCTGCCTTAATTAACAGTGGACCGGGCTCCACTAATCTTAACAAACCTATAATAAATATTAATGAGTTATTTCAAGTTGCAACACCAAAATTATCTTTTTTTGAGATCTAAGCGCCACCTCAAGTCTAAATTGTATAAAATTTCAATCATTTACACACACTTTTATATGCATTGGAATTTGCAAATCAAAGGTTAGTTATTATGAGTGCAGTTTTATCGATATAGGTTATTTTGTAATCAACCTTCATTAATTATTATTATTATGAAATCGTTCATAGCAATATTATATCTAATCATGAAATATATCTTAGATTAGATAAAGAAAACTCTAAATCTTAGATTAAAGTAAAAACTATATCACTCAACATAGCTTTCTAAAGTATTGAAGAGAAAGATAGTTTAAATATTAATGATGAACGGAATTTTATTGTACAAATTGAAACTAAAAAATAAGAGAGGAAGTGGATGTGATTATTGGCAAGTTTGCGATGATTTGGAGGCAGCACAAGAGTTATAATACTTATATCGGTTGCTAGGATTTATTATTGAGGAAGAATATGAGATTTATAGCTAAAGAGAAAGAAAAATTGCTTGATTGTGTGGAAAAGAAGATGGTTTATGGCCCTTGGTTGATGACACGGGTGAGGAGGAAGGCTTTCGGATGCTTAGGGGAAACAATATAGAGAATGTTCGATTGAGGAAGGAGATGAATGAGAGAGAAGTCTCTGATGGCTACGAGCGTGAGAAGTAAAAAGTGTGTATGGTGACCTAAGGTGGCTGTGAGATGCGAGATCTTTGCACAATTTTGGTAAGGTGTGAGATCTCTGAATTGATTGTGTGTGGAGATGGTTTTACAAGGCTATAAAAAAGGAGAGGAGTGTAGGGTTTTGCAATTTGGTTAGGCACTATTGGGGAATTCACATGAGTTTGTTTCGGTTCGATTTGGGTAAGGGTATGTAGTTTAGTTCATTACACCCAGTAAAAAAAATATATATGTATTCAAATGCCATCTTCTTTTTTTATTAATGACAACCCATAATTCATGAACAATTTTTCAATAACATGGATGATACTAGATTTAACCAACCAACAAGAGGAAAACCAAATTTTATTTTGGAAATCAAATAAGAAATTACAACCAACATATAAAAATATGAAATTGCAATGACTGACAACACAAACTCAAGCTGGGGGGTAGAACCATGGGTGGTGGTTGTGGTGGCGGTCAACGGGTGTTTGAAAGGTGGCACAGGGGTGGAAAAGGCGGTTGATAAGCACAAAATACTAAGGTGGTTATTTCTCTGGTGTCGGACAATAAGTAAACAATTGGGAGCTATGGGGAGGGTTGTCCGGGGTGATGGCAACAAGGATGGAGGGTTGAAATGGCGGTGATAGTTAAGAGGAGGGGTTGGACATAACGACAGTGAAGGTGGAGGGTTGGAACAACAATGACAATGTGGAGGAAATGAAATCTGCAAGAAAAACAACAAATAAGTGCTATTATGGGTGGTGACAACGAGGGAGGATGCTTGGAAGCGAAGTGAGAGGGATGTGGAAGAGTCGGGGAAGAATAGATATCGCTTGGGGAGAGAAATACAACCGGACTACCACTTGACCCTTGAAGGAGAATTATCACTTCATAATGAGATACAGTCGAAGCATTACTCACCCTTGGATAAAACCCTAGAAGCGAAAACATGGAGATGCTGATGGTTGTCCCGACATAAATCTCCAAAAAACTAACTCTAGACTCTCACAAATGTAAATTTATAATAATATAATAATTAGGAGTGGCCCAAGGGACCGGCTAACACTTCACAACAATGAAAAGCTTGGACCGAATCGGTCTAGTCAAATAGGCGCTCCGCTCGCTTCAAATGTGGCTATTTCCGCATCCAGTGTCTTGTCTTTGGGGTTTGCGAGATCTTAGACCTCATCTGTCAAAACTTCTTTGTTCTTATGACATGGAGTCAGGTCGACCACGTTGAAGGTTGCAAAAATGTTAGTCTCCCGATGAGTCAATCTTATAAGCATTGTCATTCCAAAGCACATCCTGATAAAATAAGTATCCATCATCTTTTGGCATAACCCGAGCTGGAGCTGCATATAGACGCAGATTCTTATGTGCTGCAAATTTCAAGCAGGTAAATCTATAATCTGCTTTCTTCCTATTCTCGTACTCGGTTGCATGTATCTGAGAAACTAACTCTGGAACGACATCTATGGTAGGCTAGACCACACTGCAGTATAACCACTCAGGAGAGGCTTATTTTTCTACAAAAGGACCTGAATTTCACTGTAAGATGTTCTTTCCCCCAAAGATTCTACAGCGATTTCCAACGCCATGATTCATATTTTCTGCCTGATCATCTGTTGGTGGGTACACTACGGAATTGATTTTCATACCCAAATGATTTCATATAATCTTCGAGAAGTGGCACAAATGAATCTCATCTCTGACGTTGGTCCTCCATCAGTAGTGGTAACTCAAGAAGTAGATTATTTATTTGAAAAGTCTGAAATTCTCTTATCTGGGGTTGTCATGTGTCGGGTGTAGGTTTTTTGAACTTAGGACTGTCTTGGACCATCAATGTTAATTCTGTTGGAGTCTCTCTCCTGGGATCGATTTGAACTATGTGTTTTTCTTCCTCATTAGTTGGAATCTAGCATTCCTCGTTTGTGTCATCACCTTCTTCAGTATCTACAATGGCATTGCCCATCTCTTCATTTGTTTCCTCATTAGTAGAAGAGATCATTCTTCTAGTTGGGCAATCTGATCCAATGTGCCCAAACCCGTGCCACTTAAAACACTTCCTAACTGGAATGGATTTGGGAATGCGAAATGATTTCACCTATTCTCAACTCTGAATCAGTTCTTCCTCAGGTGGGGACTTGAGTCTTCATTGGGGTGTACTCTTGCTGCGTGAGCCTGGGGTTGAATTTGACCTGTAAGGTATGTTCATCTGGTGATATTGTTGTAACTGGTGAGGTCTTATGAATATTGTCTATAAGTGGGGGTAGGTACTGATGCTACATCTCTCATTTTATCTTGGACTAGGTAGTTGTCTTATCTTTTCCCTCACGCTAGCGTAGGTGCTTTAAAATTTCTCACCAAAATAATGCACTTTTTAATAACATGCTGGCGGCTAGTTTCATCATTTTGTCCCGCGGGATGTCCTGCTACACAAAAAAGTTCCACGTTATGGAGTAACTTAATGAACTCGTTTAGATCCAAGTGACCATCAAAATATGAAATATTCACATTTATTTCAAGATCCTGGATTCTCTGATTTTTCATGCCAAATTTGCAGGATAGTCGTGCTTCATCTCTAGAATCTGTATTGTAGAAAGGATTCACTGCATTCTTTCGATTTGCCAAGCCATAGTTGTGGCTATGGGCGACCCTTCCAGATTGTCTTCTCTTGAAGGCAGTGAGCCTCTGTTGTAGTTGGAGGATTTCCCGCCGCACGTCCTCTATAGAAGGTTTTAGGACATCTCTTTGTGGATTTATCATAAACGACATTGTACATTTCTTCCCAGACAGGTCTCAGACAATTGTTTCTTTTGTGGAGTGGTTGTGGTTGGGTTTGGGGTTTGGATTTGGGTAGGTGAAAGTGGGTGCATTAGTAGATGCTAAAAGTTCTAGGATAAGACTAGGGTTAAGCTAGCTCTGATACCAAATGATACTATAATTAACCAAACAAAAATATAAAAACTTAATTTTATTATGGAGATCTAATAGTTAATTACAATCAGTGTACGAAAATTTGAAATTGCAACAACTGTCAATACAAACTCAAGCTAGGGGATAGATCCAGGGTGATGGTGGGCGAGGGTTTGGAAGGTGTCGTAGGGGTGGAAAAAGCGGCTTGTAACCAGAAAATAGTAAGGCGGTTTTTTCCTTGGTGCTTGATAGCAAGTAAACAATAGGGAGCGATCTGGAAGGGCTGATCAGGGTGATGGTAGCAAGGATGGAGAACTGAAATGGTGGCGGCAGCCAAGAGGAAGGGCTGAATAGCAACGACATAAAGGTGTAGGCTGGAATAACAATGACAGCGAAGATGAAAGGGCTGGACAGAGGAAATCTACATGAGAAACAACAAATAAGTGTTGTTCTAGGCGGCGACAGTGAGGGTGAATGCGTGGCAACTAAGCAGGAGGGATCTGGAAGAGTCGGGGAAGGATAAATACCAAATTGGGAACAGTACCACTTGCCCTTGGATATAGCCCTAGAAGGGAAAACTCAGAGACAGCTACTGCTAAACCGATAGAAAACTCACAAAAAACTAACCCTAGACTCTCACAAAATAAGATTTATAATAATAGGACAATTAGGAAGGGCCCCAAGGATCTGACAGGCACTCCACATCAATGAAAAGTGTGGACTGAACCGTCCAGGCAAGCAGGCGCTCCTCCTGTTTCAGACGTGGCTATTTCTGCGTCATTGGATGCCTGTGTCAATGGAATTTTGCAAGTGACAAAACTAGTAAAATAATATTGATTTAAGAGTGTGTGGCAAAGCTAATTAACATAGGATTCTAGAACCAGCAGATAACTTGGTATTCTAGCAGCAAGTGATGATCCGAATTTCCAATTCAAACTAACAAGTGATGATCCGTGTAAGCCCCAAATAGTTGGGATAAGGCTGACATTGATGATCATGTTGATGATGATGATGATGATGCTGATGAGCAAATGATGACTATAAATTTCGTGCTAATAAATATAAAATTCTATTACTTCACATAAAAATACATATTGAAATGCCCACTTCCTTTCTTTGATCATAAACCGAACTAAAACAAGTGTGCATGATGCAAATTGTTGTGCTTACTACTTTATATCAATTTGTTCTTTATTTTGTTTTTGTTGACCTGAGACACATGCCTTAATACTGTCATAGTATTTTGAACCATGGTAGCTAATTGCTGCCGATTATATTATATTTTCATTTCTTATTAACTATGATTAACACTTCAGATACGCATCAGTTTTGTTTCATTTCATTGAAACTAATACTAAGCTTCTCAACTTGAAATATAGCAATTTAGCCCTATCATGAAGTGTCATTTTTCTGTTAATCATTATTGAAATTTTCAGAGGAAGGCCTGTCTGATAGAGGATTTGAGGTCACCAGGCTGAATACTTACAACACCGTAAGTCCGTGAAACTTGCTGGTAAAGTTGAGTATTATTGAGATACAATGCAAGTGCTTTACAACAATTAATTTTAGGAAGATTTGCATAAAACTATATATAATTTGCCCCCTGTAGTGACACAAATCTTAAAGTTTTCAGTTATCATTAGTATAAGATGTGTTTGTTGAGATGAATGAATTAATTGACCTTATTCCTTATAATTTTTGTTTTTCATAAAGTTTTAGGTTGAATTTTAATTTCTTGTTTTCGTTTGAGGCATGCCAATGATGTTTCCTATTATTATGAGAATGGTTTTTAATCACTAAAGTTTCCCTAGAATTACTGTTCTTGCAAGATGGTTTACGGTTATTGTAGGATGGATGGCTATTTAGCAGTTATTTTTGGTATTTGGTTTTGGCAATCTTGCTTTGAACAGTGGTTCTTGGAGTTTTATGTCTGGATTCTTATACATGGTTTACCAAAGTTCATGCTTATTACTTTTGAGTCTTGTGGTTGGTCATGTTCTTATGCTTGTTCTTCTGTGGCATTTCCGCAAATTTGTTGGAAGTTGTGACTTATGCTGTGATTATAATGCTTTCTTTTATCTCTCTCTCTTTTTTTTTTTTTTTTTTTTTTTTTTTTTTGTGAAATTGATGCTTTCTCTTATCTGGCAGTTTGACTTTTTGCAGCTTATCTCCTGGCGATTTTCATTTGTGGCTCATTGCTATCCATGTATATATTTGCACATTATTTGTTGAATTCATGAGGATTTTATGATTATAAAAAGGAGTTATGACTTATGAGGCTTTTATAAAAAAAGTAAGCATTTCTTTGATAAATTTTCAGTTGGATGTGCAAATCCTTCTAGTCCAATCCTTAATCGATATAGATTATCTCTTTTAACGAGCGGGGAGCTTTATTTGCTGTTTTCCTTTTCTTCTCTGCTCTATTTGCTATCCCTAAATATTGATTTGGTGTTCTTCTTGGATTGATTTTTGTCAATATGATATAATCTAGTTTTCGATTTTGTCAGCATGACTTTAAATTAATTGTATGATTTTTCATATTTTTAAATTTATATGCATTATTTATAATAGATTACTATTAAATTATTGCTTGCATGGTTTTGTCTATATAAATTTTTTATTTTCATTGAAGGAATATTTATTTTTTAAAAAATTTATAGTTTTTTATATGTGAATTTGTACGCATTTCTGTGATTTAGCGCATGTCATATTATGTATTAGAAACCTTAACCCTTAAGATATCTTGCACAAGATTTGGTATTAATGCTTAAGATTGAGTCAAAATGCCAACTAGAAAAGTAGGGCTCAAAATCATGGTCATTTAATAGATCAACTAAGAAATCTAATTTTGAAAAATAAAAAATAGTTAGTTAAATTCTAAATAAATAAAATCGATCTAGTGAAATTATAAATCACGTTAAAACAAAGAATTTTAGAAACTCAACAACATGAACTTATTCCATATGGAAAGGGAATAAATCTATTTTTAATAACAATAATAAAGGAAAATCTATGAGTATTGCATCAGAGTAATCTATATCAAAATAAATGGCTAGTAGAAATTTATATATTAATGTTAAAAAGATGATTTTGAAAGAAATACATGAAAATGATATACATGAATTTGATAAAGCAATTAATGTTTTTAAAAATGCTTTATTAAAACTTGAAAGTGTTATGAGATGTATTATTACCACAACTAAAGTTGAATCTGATTAGAAAATAATTTTTGTTTCAAACTTATTCTAAGTATGATGATAAACTCCTCATGTTACTAACAAATAATGTAAGTTTATTAATGTTATAACTAACTCGGCTATTGATAGTATGAACTTTTAGATAAGATTCAATTGAATAAAGATTATTAGTGCCGGCTCAACTTTTTACCTATAATGATAAAATATGGTGTGATTTTTTGTCTGTAATGTAGCACATATTATTTTGGGTCAAACATTGTTTATGATATAGATGGGACTCAATTTTGATATCTAATACATATATGCTCAAAAGAAATGGAAGTAGATTGCCGTGAAACCTACTATACTTAACAAAGAAGCCACTATATATTTTAAACCAACATGATTTTCTTGGAAGTGTACATTTTGCATTACTATATCAAAAAAAGTACAAAACTGTGCATGTATCCATCTATGATGTATAAAAGTGAGATCTATTTTTTTAGAAAAAGCCTGAGGGCAAATATATTAATACAGAAAAGATATAGAAATGTTGTATGAGAGGGTCAAAAAGAAAACCCAACTCATACAATACGACACACACAAAACTCAGATAAAACAAAGATACATATAAACAAAACTCAGATAAAACAAAGATACATAAAGGTAAAAAATCAAAAAGCCACAAAAGGGCACAAAAGTGCTAGAGACGTCCCACTTTAGTCCTCCTGACTTTAGTTCTTGGAAGTAAGCCGACTAACAAATTGACTAACAAATTTTAGTAAGATGAGTACCATTGCCCGTAGTAACCAAAGTATCATCTATCAGATTCCTGAGCTCAAGTTGATCTTCATTCTTCTTCTTCCTCCTGGATGTGTAGACTATCATTCCTCATCCAATGATTGACTCATCTGATCAGTAGATTCCAAAGGTGATCAGACAGGTGTAGGTCGTTGCACGCCTTGATCCCAATGAGCCTAAGTAATATTAACATCTTTTTGGACCTGATGAGGCGGTAGTGAAACAGTAGAAGTATTTCCACCTGTATTATCAGTGATAGTTTCTAGGGCAGGTGGGGTCTGAAGAAACTCCCTCTCCCCCACGATAGGAGGTTTCAAAAGACGAGGGAGCTACAATTGGGGACTGAATAGTTGTCATATTGCCTGCGGGGATAGTGACGTCGTCCGGTATATCCTTCTGATGATTAATAGTGTCAAAAACTTGGAGCTGATCAGCAGGAGATGGAATCACAACTTCTAGTGGAGCAGTTTGCTTTTTTGGTCCGAGTTGGGGTGTAGATGGTGACATTGAGAACTGGAGTGTCCAAACATACGACAGTTCGAATAATATGACGGAAAATGTTCAATCTCTACCTTCTACCAATATCCATGGTGTTGTGTACCCAACCATATTTCCTCATAAGCGGGTGAAGTGATGTCTCTTTTAACAAGTACTCTGGCTTCAGAAGGACGGGTCAGAAGGACGGCTCTGGCTTCAGAAGGACGGGACAAATTAAAAGTAGAAATGTCTGTCTTGAGTGGCTTCCCATAAGCTAAGGCCAATACTTTTTGAGAAAAATGAGAAAAATAATAAAATTTCAGACTAGGGAGACGAATCCAAACCAGAATGATTGGCGGTTCCGCTGTGGGTCAAAATCCACGAACCATTTCAAAATCTTCATTGCTCCGTTATCAATCCATATTATCTTTCTAGCAAATAAACGCATGTAATCTTCTTTATTACTAATTTGAATAAAAATGTGTCTCACATCTAATAGTCTAATTTTTATTCTCCAACAAGGTGCATGAGTTCAAATTCTTTGCGAATGAGCTCCATTTGGGATGACCATATAGAAATTTCTCAATCAAATTCAGCGAAAGGAGGAAGCAAGTTAAATGTCTGCAGCTTCTGTAAAAAAGATGACAGACTTCCCATTCTTCCTACCAGGTTTTTTGATATCCTCCGTCTACTCAAACGAAGGAGGGAAAGATGACGATTTTGGTGTGCCTGAGGCGGGACACCGGCTAGGGTAGCTGCATACAATTTGTCCGAAGCCATTCTCAAAGATATGTGCGACGTTCAGAGAAGAAAGCTGACGAGGGAAAAAATAGCGTCGAAATAGCCGAAGCTAAGAAGAGGACGCTGTGAGACGGGACGAGCGCAGAGAACGTAGAAATCGCGAGTAGTACCCGCGAGACTGAGCCGCAGAACACGCGAGCGGTACCCGCGAGACGGGCCGCAGAGTCTAGAAATCCCGAGCCAAGAAAGCTCGCGAGACCGGAAGACGAGGCTTGTCTCAGAGTCGGAGAAGAAGTGGGGGAGATGAACGGAATCGAGCGCGAAGACGTAGAGAGGAAACAACGAAGCCGTAACTGTTGCTAAGGTTCGCCATCGGGCGAAACCCTAGCAGAGCCGAGCGAGGAAGACGACGCCATATATATTAGTTGTTTGGAAATCCTTGACACAAAGACGCTCCAAATCAAAGCATTCGAAAAAAAAAAATACAAAAGTGACATCTATCATCTACAAATATACTAGAGAGTTCCCTATCATCGTCTACATGCATCAAAACAAACGACACCTCTATGGGAACGTTTAGCACAAAAATTGGCGGCCCTTTTACATTCCTGAGGTATATGAAAATACAAAACTTGTTTAAAGTTTAACAAAAAAGCAAGATTCAGTGCAATAGATGGTTGCCAACACCACATGTCCTGCTTCATGGAGGTTTGTAGAAGTTGCATAATATTTATATTGTCTCCCTCAATAACGATCCCCTTGCACTTAAGTATCCATCGTTGGCAATTAACTTGGAGAGATTTAATCGCTTGCAGCTCAACTTTGGCACTATTCCAATGTGTAAAATACTGTCCCGTGGCAATAAGGCCGCTATCCGTATCAGCCTGAATAATGCACTGGTGTCGGCGATTCTGGAGGAAGAAATCCCACCATCAACATCACCTTGAGCAATCCGTTAGGGGGAGGATGCCAAAAGAGGTAAGAAGGATCCAATTCGTAAGATTGGCTAGCATACCACTGCTCATGAAATGGGTAGAGCGATGTCGTGGTGAGAGCCTCCAAAATGGTTGAAGCAACAATGGTGGTCGTTCCATAAGATCATCCGTGGTTTTTGGCGTTATGAGCACACCAACATTGATGAACGATATAGCAAAAGCAACGAGCTTGTGGGAGTTCTCTGATTGGACTTCTGCTTAGTCCCTCGCAAACTTCCTGCTACACTTAACAAAGAAGACGCTGAATATCTTAAACCAGCATGGTTTTCGGAGGGCGATACTCAGAAAAGTTGAAATAATTG